AAAATAAATAAAATAAAAAATAAAAAGCAAACCAGGGAAAAAGCGAACTTGATATTGAGCAAGCCGCAAGAGCCCCTGGTGGACGGACCCCAGGCACACTGATGGGACAGCCAGGCGGGGCTAGCTTGGAACGATTGAGAACTTGGAGCTGTTACGGGACCAGACCAAGGTAGTGTTGTAGCTGGGGCTACAACCCATGCGAGGTCCTTATATGCGACCGTACCGTGACAGGAGCTTTCGTCGCTGGAGCTTCGGGTGAACGGGGCAGGCGCAGGCGAACATCACGCGATTCTTTGTGCTTCCATAATAAGCGACATGTGTTATTGAGCATTTTCGCACATATCCGAGCCACCCCAGGCTAATCCAAACCAAAACCTGCACTTGCCATCTACTGCCGCTTCAAACCACAGTCCTCCAACTTCCGCAGGACATCCTCTCGCTAGCCACGCACAGGCGCCGAGGACCCCCGAAGATAGGCAGCACCCACCTCACCGCATATCTGGGCGATACTAGCGACAATCCTCCTACTGGCCCAGCGCTATTTCCGCTGCGCTAAACCCGAAGCACTCTTACAATGCCCGCCGGCGATAACAACTCCCTCAGCAGCCTTCTCGTTCGGTGGAAGCAGCATGTGGACCATCATGTGAACACCACCCTCAGCGACCTTTTCGGCATTCCCTCGGTTGTTTCCAAGAGCTACGCCGCTGGGGACAATGGAGTCGCCGCTTCCGCTCCGTCCGGAGGCTCCACGCCGGCTGCCTCCGCGCCTGGCCCGGCCCGGGATTCCGACGCTGGCGAGCCCACCCAATATCATTTCCTGGAAGGGCTTCTGATGCGCCAGTGGTATCACTGGGCTGTTCTCTCGCCCTATTCGCCTTTCAACCTGCAACACCTGCCCCCGCCCATCCCTAACGACCTGTCCGCCGACGCAGCCAGCCCGAACGGGTTCGCCGACGCCTTTGAGGATCTACTTCGCGCCAGCTCCGGCCAGAGCCTTGCCGACCACCAAGAGCGCCAACGCCGCGCTACGGATCCGGAGCGCCGCAGGTTCGACCGGCGCGTGCTTTGGCTGGCAGACCTTCGTCATGGCAATCTTCTCGCCAGCTACTACCCCGCCGGCAGCGACGACAGCAAAATACTCGGCCCACTCATGGCCGGCAGTTCGCCCACCGCCTGGCTGGCGTCGCTGCGCAGGCGGGGTCTGTATGACTCTGTCTTCCCGTCCGACTCTGACATCCGCCTGAGCCCGTCGCGCCACATGCGCATCGGCAGCCTGGCCGTGCTGCCACCCCGTGACCCCTGGAACTTTTACTGGCAGGATGTCGCCGACTGGGGCTTCAGGGGCTGGGGCAATGCGGGCCTACGTCTCGGCTTTGATAGCGGATGGCTCGGACTGCCCGAACCAGGAGAGCCTGCGCAACCAGCTTCACGCTGGCCCGAAACGGAAGAGGCACTGTTCGACGGCACGCGCAGGCGGCCACAAGAGCAACCTGATGCCCGTGAGCCAGGCACCCACACGACGACCGAAACCATCGCCGGACCGAACGGGACGACCACCATTATTACGCGCAACGAAGAGGTCGACAAAGACGGCAACGTTCGCCACACCAGGATCGTTTCCAAGACGGTCGACGCTGATGGAAACGAGATAGCGAGACAGACCGAATCGAGATATCAGGCCAGCTTTGGCGGCAAATGGTCCTGGGACAGCAGCAAGACGGAGGACGGTGGGAAGCAGGACGGCGATGGGACCAAGAAAGACTCTTGGTTCTGGAAGTCTGATCGTTGAGGGTTTGTTGCGTTGCTGGCCAGCGAAGACAGACTGCGAGGTATCCACTTGTAGTTTCTCTTTCTTCCCATTTGTTCGTGCTCTTATCTTATTTTTTCTACGCTGTCGAAACTTTAGGTGCTTGACTGGTTTTTCTTTATATCCGATGGTTTTGGGCTGGGACGGAAAACAGGACAGGACAGGGCAAGACGACAAAATGTGGTGTGGGCTCGCGCAGAAAATGGATTTGATGGCACCAATTCAGATTGGATACCGTGTGCAACCAAGGTGGCAGGACATGGAAAGTCGGGTTGGATAGGAACGGCTGAATGATAACGATCCGAGAGACTTCCGTTTTGCCACAAATTTGCGCAGGGCCGCAGGTACATTCTGGTGGGTCGGGTCCTGCCGCCCGCCCAACAATTTTCACGCCAAAAAGCGCCCCGAAAAAAGGCGTTTGCCGGAGCCAAGCTCCAGCAAAAGAAAACCGCACCAGACGTGGCAGCATCTGGCTTTGAGAAGCACTGCCAGCTCCTTGCCGGACCTGATTGCTGGACACGCTCGTCTGAATCCGAGGCATTTCAGAGAAAAGGCCGGCCCGCCCGACAGGTCCTTTTTCCACAATTGACGAGAGCTCCCAGGCGGCGGCGGCAGAAAGTGGGCGAACTCCGATCCGCGCACTGGAACCAAGCCTCGATCTAAGACTCGACTAGACGGCCCCGACCACCGGCCCCGACTCGTTGGACAGACTCTCAGATCGGACAGAAACACAATGGCGACGCTTGCGGCATTAGGCCGCATGTCCGGCCGCCTGAACAGGCGGAGGCTAGCTGGAGCTGTTGTCACGCCACGAGGTTAGCTCCCGCCACCCTCGGAGCCGTCGCATCTCGAGAGCTTCCCAACCGGGGCACGAGAGGGGTTGCAAGCGCATATCATGTCCCCGCGAGGACACAGACGGAGCAGGCTCGCTAACATGACAGCCCGCGCCCGCCAACTAGGCTTTAGGACCTCGGCCGCGGCGCTTGCCGCACAGAACTTCACCATGCCCGCCCTCTCGCCGACCATGACGGAGGGCAACATTGCCACCTGGCGCATAAAGGAGGGCGACAAGTTCTCCGCCGGCGACGTGCTGCTGGAGATCGAGACGGACAAGGCCACCATGGACGTCGAGGCCCAGGACGAGGGCATCCTGATGAAGATCATGCAGGGCGACGGCGCCAAGGCCGTAAAGGTCGGCGCCCGCATCGCCGTGCTGGCCGAGGAGGGCGACGACATCTCGGCGCTGGAAATCCCGCCCGACGAGAGCGCCGCCGAGGAGACGCCGCAGAAGCAGCAGCAGCCAAAGTCATCTGAGGCCTCGTCGCAACCACCCCAGCCGTCCGACGCCGCCGCCCCCGCACAGCCCGCCGCCGAGGCCACCAAGAGGGCGCCCCCCGGCGGGAAGCCGTCCAGGGTCATCTACCCGCTGCTGCCGTCGGTAGCCCAGCTCGTGAGGGAGAAGGGCATCGACGAGTCGGCCGTGGCGCAGATCGTCGCCACGGGCCCCAACGGGCGCCTGCTCAAGGGCGACATACTGGCGCACCTGGGCGTCATCAACCAGCAGACCCCCGCCACCATATCCGAGAGGTTCGAGAAGCTCTCGCACCTGGACCTCAGCAACATCAAGCTCGCCAAGCCCGCGCCGAAGCCGCAAAGTACCGCCGCCGCCGCCGAAGCGTCAGCCCCCACGAGGCCGACGCTGGTCGAGGTCTCGCTTCCCGTCTCGTTCGACGCCGCCATGAAGCTGAACGAGAAGCTCCGCGGGGGCCTCGGCTTCGACTTGCCCCTGCCGGAGTACATCGGCCGGGCCTCGGACCTCGCCAACGACGACCTTCCCGTCCCGTCCGACTATCAGCCCACCGCCGACGAGCTCTTCGACCAGGTCCTGGGCCTCACCTCCAGCAATGCCCCCATCACCTCCCGGGGCAACTACAGGCCCCGACTGGCGGGAGCTATGGAACACCGCACCCCCAAGCCTTCTGTTCGTCGCCGGCCCGATATCATTGATGTGCTGGCCGGCCCTTCCGGCGCCGCCAGGAGGCCCGCGCTCCAGTCCTCGTCGTTTCCCGGCTTTTCGTATCCCACACTCGAGCCTTCTGGCCCTCGGTTTGTCAGCCTCACCGTCCCCAAGACGGAGGAGAAGCGCGCCAAAACCTTCCTCGAGAGGTTCAAGGTGGTGATGGAGGACGAAATCGAAAGTCTTGCGTATTTTGAAGATTAATCGCCAGCTGCGCGGGCTGTTTTTTTTTTGGGCGATGCTGTAATCATATCCACCGTATTTATAGATTTGGCATGGAGATATCATTGATGGATGGGCGTAAATGGAAGCGTTATGTTTCTATTTTTAGGGGGTTCCGAAAGAGAGGTGCAATGGCTTGTATAGGTATCTAAAATCAACCGCGGCTGTGGCTTCGCGTGGAACCAAGCCGCAATCAGAGCACGCAAACACTTGCTTACAGGTATCCTTTCAAGTTCATTCCCGACATTATATCTTCCCATATCCAGGCTACCTCGCTTCGTAACAAAATCCAGCATGCCTGCCCAGCCCCCAAGAGAACCATACCAAACCACCCCCTTCGCTCAAGACACCTCCCGAGATAACATGGCCATTATCAGCAATCACATCATGCCTCACTCTCCCCTTCGCTGAGCAGTTCGTCAACGAGTGACTCGTCCATCTGTCGTTTCTGGACGATGGTCCCCGAGCTGCTGCCATCTCCCCCATCCTCATCCTCATCCTCCTCCTCCTCTTCTTTAATGCCCGAATCCATGACCACCGTCCTCTCCTCTGGCACGACGGTCCTGTCCTCGAGGCTGACGGACGTGGACCTGCTGACACTCCTCCTGCCGTAGCCGTCCAGTTGCTGCTGCTGTAGTTGCTGGTCCAGGCTGTTGACAATCTTGCCGAGCGATACGTGGATCTTGTACAGCGCGTTCCGCCCCGTCGTGTCCGACACGAGGTTGCCCTCGACCGCCTCGGCGACCTCGGCGTACGTCTCCCTGACTTTTTCTTCCGTCGACGTCGGCGAGATGTAGAGCTTGCTGAGGAGGGCAGCCACCACCTTCTTCAGCTCCTCTGTGCGTGACAAATTAACATGATTAGTGAACGAGGCCCTCTGATGCATGCGATGAAATGAGATTGCTTCTGGGTTCTTACTTGGAATGCTGGTGTTCAGCTTGTCCAGAATGGCGTGAACAAAATCGAGGTGGATGTCTCCCTTCACGTTCTTCTTCTCGGCGTCGCTGGGGATGCCCGGCGAGTAGCACTTGCGGGGGTCGGTCCAGTCCACCAGGCACGCGCCGATAGTGCTGAGACTGACCATCTCGTCGTCGATGTCGGCCTCGTCGTCCTCGAAGCCCTCGCGCACGTTGAAGAGATAGTGAAGAGCGTCCAAAGCGACTGACTGCATAAGGTCCTGGTTCTCTGACCGGGAGTAGCAGAACACGGGCAGGAAGTAGTTGAGGGCCTGCCGCACGCTCTGGTTGCCCGAGCTGGCTGGCTCAAAGTAGGCGATGACGAGCGTTTTCAGCAGTTCCGACGACGTGTCCGGATCCGTCACCACGCGGCCCAGCAGCAGCTTGGAGACGGCGATGGTGGCCGCGGCCTGGACCTCGTGAGACTTGTGCCTCAGCGCCTTGACGTAGACCTTCTGGAGCGGGGGCGAGGCCGAAAGGAGCTGGGCCCCGTGTACGTTGAGGATGTCGGTCAGGATTTGGAGGGCTGTGATTTGAAGCTCTGCGTGCCCCTTGTTGTAAAAGGCCATGAACAGAGCCAGGTTCTCCTCGGCGAGCGACCGGTCGAGGAGCGAGCATAGGCCGAGACACACTAGGCCGCGCTCTCGGACGGGGACCTCCTGGCTACGGACCGCGGGCACCACGAGATTGTTAAGCATCGAGACGAGATGGTCGTTGGCCTGCAGGCTCCCCGAGACGTTTGTGAGCATGCACTGCACAATGTGCAGGCACTTCATATTGATCAGGAGCTCCTTCACGAGCTTCTCCTGCTTCTCCTCCTCCGACAGACCAGCGTCCTTGTCCGCCATGCCGTTCTGGGTGGGCGTGCTTGCGCGGCTGACTTCGGAACGTGCTGAGTGAAAGCTCTCCTCGCCATCGCCGCCGTCTCCATCGGTGATCGTATCGTGCACGTCGGCGACCGCCTCGAGGACCACGCTGCAAAACTCGCGCTCGCCGGCGGCGTCTGGCGCGCAGATATCGCGCAGAACGTCGACCGTGAGCTTGGTGACCTCGTCGGGCAGCTCGGGGATCGAGAGAGTCTGGCGGAGGAGGGCGAACATCTTCCTACGACCGACCTCGTCCGAATAGTCGAGCGTGAGGGCGATGTGCAGCAGCTGCTCCACAATAAACTCCTGCTCGACCGTGTCCTCCTCCTCCTCGTCCTCGTCCACCTCCTTCTCCTCAATCCGCTTAATGGCGTCGATCAGCACCTTGACGTAGCGCTCGAGGTAGAAGGCGAGTTTCGTAACCTCGGGAAGCTTCTCCTCCACCAGCGCCTCGTACCTGCCATTACCCTCTGTCCGACAGAACTGGTTGAAACTGCGCGCCATAAAGACCGCCTCGGCCGAGAGCGTCTCCCAAAAGTGGTCGTCGAAGCGCGCGGCCTCCCTGTAGTCAGGTCGGCCCTCCCAGAAGCCGCGCATCGCCTCGAGTGCGACCCCGTTTTCGACACCCGAGTTGACAACATCAATGCGCTCAAGCAGCTCTAGCAGCCCATCAAAGCTGGGAGCGGCGGGCTCAGGAGGCTGGCCATCCTCGGCTGGCTCCTGGGGACCCACACAGTCCTCGATCCAGCGCTCTCTAAAGAGGCGACCGGCGGCCTTGCGGACGTTCTCGTCTCTGTCGCGGAGCCCCCACCTAAGCAGCTTTTCCCTCATCGAGAGAGACAGATGGCGGAAGTCGCCCAGTGCCGGCAGCAGCCGCGAGTAGACGGCGCGCCGGGTCAGCGCATCCTGGTCCCTCGCCCGCTCTAGCAAAAATGGTAGGGTGTTGGGCAGTATGGGCAGGTTGACCAGCAGCGACCGGCGCACCTCGGCGCTCGGGTCGTTCTGAAGAACCTCGAGCAGCTTGGCCAGAAGGTCTTGGCTCGAGCCGTCATCGCTGTCGTCCGAGTTGGGCTCGGCCTCAGCCTGGTTGCCGGCGAGGCGACCAAGCCCCAGGACGGCCTGAGCGCGGACCATGGCTTCCTTGTCGCGAATTCGCTTGAGAAGCCCGTACCGCAGTTTCTGGAACAGGTCGTCGTCGATCGCCTCGAGCGAGTTGATGATCTGGGAGATCAACTGAGTGGACCGGTAGCGCACGAACTTGTCCTTGGCCGTGAGCAGCGGCAAGATCACCTCCATAAGGTGCGCCGTCAGCCTGGTGCCGGGCGTCTCGGGCATTGTGCTGGCCTCGTCGTCCAGCTCGCCGAGGAGCTCGTTATCCTTTTCTATCGAGTGCTGCAGGAATAGGGCGATAAATCGCACCATCTTCTCGCCCGCGCTCTCCGTCTTCTTCACCGGCATGACGCGCAGAACGCATCGTGAAAATTCCGTGTTGAAGTCCTCCTCGTCGAAATCGGAAGCGACCGACGACTTCTTGGCGCTCGTCGGCTCGTAGCAACACGCCTCCTGGATCTTGCGGAGCGTCACCGTCAGCTTCCGGTGGGATACTGTTGTGCGCTGGGCCTCGCGGAACACCGACGCGATCTGTGGTCTGAGCTCATTATCTGGTGCCTCGTCGGGGAAGTCGACGATGGATGCGCGCGACGCTACCGAGGTGCGCGGGTTCAAGGCTGTACTCGAAGACTTGTTCGAGACCGCCGCGGAGCTAGTCCGCGTCGATCTTGTAGACGCTCGCGGCATCCTGGCCTGGCTCGCTCGTGGATATCGGTCGATATAGGAACTGGACGCGGGGTAGCCCAGACCTAGCTAGCAGAGCGGTGTCTGTAATGGGGGGCAAGAAAATGTAATTGTTGACTTATACTTGTGTACACGATGGGATACCCATAGTCTTGATCAAAATGCGGATGTTGCAACAACCACACTATCTCAAGTATCTCGCAACCATTCCCGATATTTTGGCTGGCCCTTTCCCACTAGGCGGTTTGGCGCGTGGGGTGCTTTTGTCCCGCCGCCTTGGTGGTGCCCGCTTGTTTTGTCAACAGAGTCCCTAAACAGGACTAGCGTCCCGCGGCAGTCGAGTTTAGCCCCTCCACGATGCTGCCCCGCATTTTCTCCAACGTCATCACGTGGAGATAACCAGACATGAGCTTTATCTTTTCAGGCTTGGTCTTTTTTTTTTCTGGATCGTTGCGAGCACCATGGATGAAGGCTGTGAGACGTGGGTGGAAACGGCAATATTTTTCGACTGCCTCAGTCTTTGCCTACGAATTGGGCCAGCCCCATTGGATTCAACCCGAAATACTGTACCTACTTAGTTGCCCGGGTATCTCAAATACTAGCAAGCGTTTATTTTTTGCCCCAACATGGGCAAGTCCGGCAGCCAGAAGCGTCGGCGCGAGGCCGAAGCAGCGCAGGAGCAGGCGGCGGCGGCGGTCCCTCTTTCCGAAGACTCGACTTCTGCAGCAAACCCAACTCCGCCGATTAAGAAGGCCCGCGTTGAGGAGCGTCGGTCTCTCTTTGTGCGCTCGCTGCCGACCGGTGCCACCGGCGAGTCCCTGACCGAGTTCTTCTCACAGCATTTCCCCGTCAAGCACGCCACCGTCGTTGTCGATCCTAAAACCAAAACCTCCAGAGGCTATGGCTTCGTTACCTTCACCGACCCCGACGATGCAATCCAAGCCAAGGAGAAGCTTAACAACGAGCTCCTCGACGGCCGGCGCTTGAGGTTGGACATCGCAGAGCCTAGGCACCGTGCTGCTACAAAGGCTGGTGTCCCTGTCGAGACCTCCAAGGTCTTCCAGGAGAAGCAGAAGCGCGAGGAGGAGCAGGCTGAGAACCGCAAGGCCCCGAAGCTCATTATCCGGAACCTTCCCTGGAGCATCAAGAGCTCAGAACAGCTGTCCGCACTGTTCAAAGGTTTCGGCAAGGTCAAATTCGCCGACCTTCCCAACAACAAAGGCAAGCTTTCGGGCTTCGGCTTCATCACCCTCCGCGGCCGGAAGAATGCCGAGACTGCCATCGAGAAGCTCAATGGCAAGACCGTCGACGGCAGACCCATTGCCGTCGATTGGGCTGTTGAAAAGAGCGTCTGGGAACAACAACAGGCACCGGAGGCTGAGACGCCCAAGAAAAAGTCGGCCGCAAAGGAGACTTCCAAGGAGAGAAAGTCAGACGACGAACCTAAGCCAAAGAGCAATCCAAAGAAGGCCGCAGATGACTTTGACGAGGATGAGGACATCAGGAATTTCCTCGAAAAGAATATGGAGACGCTTGAGAGTGAGGACGAGGATGAGGATGAGGACGAGGACGAAGATGGAAGCTCAGAAAAGGACGAGGAAGATGAAGATGATGAGGAGGATGACGACGATGAGGACGGGGGTGCCGAGGTTGGCGACGACAAGAAGAAGCACCCCTCGTCAGACAACGCCAGCACATTATTCATTCGTAACGTGCCCTTCACCACCACCGACGAGCAGCTCAAGGAGCATTTTTCGCAGTTCGGCGCCGTCAGGTATGCGCGTGTGGTCATGGACCACGCCACGAAAAGGCCAGCCGGCAAGGGTTTCGTGTGTTTCTTCAATGTGGAGGACGCCGAATCTTGCGCTCGCAATGCGCCACGCTACAGGCCCGCCCCAACGTTGACCAAGCACTCGGTCCTGCAGGACGAGACGGTCGACGCCGAGGGCAAGTACACCATAGAGGGGCGGGTGCTGCAGGTCTCCAAGGCCGTGAGCAAAAACGAGGCCGAGAACTTGACCTCGGCCGCTGCCGCCGCTCGCAACGCCGAGGACAAGGACAAAAGGCGGCTTTTCCTGCTATCCGAGGGCCAGATCCCAGCGAGCTCCCCAGTCTACTCCCTGCTCCCCGCTTCCGAGATCCAGATGAGGGAGGCAAGCGCCAAACAGCGCAAGATGATCGAGAGCAACCCGAGCCTACACCTCAGTCTTACTAGGTTAGCCATCCGCAATATCCCGCGGAACATGACGGCCAAGGACCTAAAGGCTCTAGCCCGAGAGGCTGCCGTCGGCTTCGCTAAAGACGTCAAGGAGGGCAAACGCGCACCGCTGTCCAAAGAGGAGTCCCGGCGGGGTGGTCAGACGGATAAGGACGGAGAGCACAACAGAAAGTTGAAAAAGAAGGGTATCGTCCTGCAGGCCAAGATTGTGTTCGAGAGCAAGGACGGCTCCAAGGTCTCCGAGGTCAAGGACGCGGATGGAGGTGCCAGGAGTCGAGGCTACGGCTTCATAGAGTATTCGTCCCATCGCTGGGCTCTCATGGGTGCGCGCTGGCTCAATGGCCATTCAGTCAACGGCGCCACTGGCAAGAAGGCCATGAGACTGATCGTTGAGTTCGCCATCGAGAACGCCAACGTGGTGGCTCGGCGAAACGCAACTCACGAGAGGTTCAAGGGGCAGGGGCCGCCCACCCAGAGCAAGCCTCAGGCGGCAACGGACAACAAGGCGGCCTCCAAGGATGAACAGGGGAGTCTGGAGGCTGGGGATGGCGGCAAGGTGACGAAATCGGCCGAGAAGAAGCTCGCCATGAGGCAGCAGATTATCGGTCGCAAGAGGATGATGCGGAAAAAGAAGGCAGACATGCGCCGTGGCAAATGAGCTGTATGAACTGTAGCGAGGTTATCGCACGCTGGCGCGCCAATAAAAGGAGGCAGGCTTCAGGGCAGGTACTGGGCGTGATAAGGGTAGGCTTTGCTGGATATTTTGGTGATGGGTTTTCGCGGACGAGCTCTGCCAGCGCTCTGTTGCTATCAAGCCACATGTAGTAATACCAAATGATACCAACGTGGAGACTCTGATTTGCCATTTCGACTGCAATCAACCCCTGAAGAAGGTGGGAGCAAATAAGTCCAAGCGGACACGGGCGGATATTATTATCACGCATGGCAGGGTGGCTTCAAAAAAAAGAGGTCAAAGTGGGATGGCATTGAAAGGAATCCAGGTCGGAGGCCGGCCTGGGAGAGGTCTGATAAAGAAATGCCTTTACGCGCGATTTCTACCCGTCTATCTAGAAGCCTTTCCATCCGTCTACAGCTGACTATCCGGTAAAATCCGGGCTAGATGGAGCCCACCCAATACAAAACGCTACCCAGCCCGAGGTTCACGGCCAGGTGCTGCCCAAAGGCCCATGCCATGCAGTACAGGTACTTTGGCGAGAAGACGGTCCAGACGAACAGGTGCGTGCGCAGCACGGTGCACGCGGCCATGACGAAGGCGGCGCCGGCGGCCGTGAACATGGTGAGGACGGCAGCGTGCCTGCGGAAGACGAGGGCGCCCCCGGCCCTGCGCTTGCGCAGCAGCAGCGTGTTGGCCGCAAAGGTCCAGTAGACGGCGCCGGCCCAGTTGCCCAGGAACGTGAGGACGCCGACGGCGGCGACGTTGAACTCGCCGACGCCGTTGTAGGCGCTCGACAGGTCGACCGACGCGATCGAGTTGGTGCCGCCAAAGGCGAAGAAGGTCGCCGACTGCAGCAGTAGGCACGACGTGCTGAGCTCCTCGAGCGTGAGGTCCTGGGCGCCCAGGAACCGGTAGATGACGTCCAGGACGAGGAACAGGGGCACGTTGGTGGCCCGGGACTGCGTCATGGCCAGCAGCGTGTACAGGCTGTGCAGCGCCTCGGGGCCTGTGTGAAGCAAGCAAAGAATATCAGACGGGCTGCGGATTTGTGCCAGCAGGGTGGGAGTGTGTACGAACCTGATGCCTTCTTTGAGCGGAAGCGCTTGGTTATCATGGAAAATAGGATCAGAACGGTGCATATCCCAAGACCGGCGAAAACGGCACGGGCGCGGCTCAGGAGCGGCGCCCCCGCGATGAGGCCGAGAGCATACTCGGCCAGGCCCGCAACCAGCTCGGGCGAGTCCTCGTACGTAAAGGCCAGCTTGAAGGTGAAGGCGGCCAGGATGAGGCAGGTCGTGCCCGTTATGTTGCCGAAGGCGGGGAGCCCGTCGAACCCGCGGGCCAGGTCGCGGTGGACCCACAGGTACGTGGCGACGACGAGCGTCCAGAGGAGCGTGGGGTTCGTGTGGAGGAAGGTCTTGACGATGTCGGGCTCCCCCGCGAACTTCTGGCCCGTCTGGTTCCAGGCGCGCAGCACCCTGAGTGCCACGAGGCCGACGAAGGTGGCCATGAGATCGCGGGACAAAAGGCCCGAGGCGCTCCTCAGGCGCCTTATGCCGAGGAAGGCCAGCCAGGCGGTCGTGGCCCAGTACCAGAAGTGCTGCTCCTCCTCCACGAAGCTGCTGGCAAACATCATGGCGCCGTAGCATACCCTCATGAGGGTGAGTGGCACGTACGACCGCTTCTCTACGGTGGCCGGTAACCTGGAAATCATGATTGTGACTCCCATAGCGGCGACTGCAAGGAGCTGTCCCAGGTTTATCCTTCCCATGTTGTAGTTGCTGGCCATGCTGCTCATGAGCCCTTGTGCCTTACGAAGCCACTGTTGGAGGTGGTTAGCACATGACGCCGTCAGCGAGACCCAGAGGGGCAAGACGCTGAAGCCTACCATTGTCATCCGAGGTACCCACTCGCTCTCAAAGCGACTCTCGGAGGTCCAGTCGCTAGCAGATTCTGTAAGCCTTTGCCATTCGCAGGCTAGCTTGCCCACTTCAGATTTTGCCAAAGCACACGCTTCGGCCTGCAGCGGTACATTGTAGAGGTGATCCCCAAAAGCTGCATGGACAATGGCCAGTACCTGACGGGCGTTGCGTAGCAAAAGCTGCGTCTTATCGTCCCCTGTTGTTATACACGAGCATGTTAGTCTGCGGGTACCGGCCGAGACTCGCTTGACTGCATCGGGGTTTGAACAACTTACTTTCCGGCCACAAGGGAAGAAAGTCGGGGATGAAGGCGCCGAGATTGTTCCTTGGCACAGGGAACCCAAGAAGCGCGGCAAGGGTCGGGGCCAGGTCAGACTGCTCGACGACATTGTAGTACTGGAACTCGTCCTGATATGGGGCCGGAGCCTCGAAGCCGTGACCGAGGGCTTTGAGCTTGGGGGAGACAAACACAAGGGCGGGCGAGGTCTCTCCTGGCGAAGACGCCCCATGGTTTCCTGCATCATTCATGCCATGGTCGCCACAGACGACCAGTAATGTCGACTGGAGGTGCTCCTGAGACTCCATCGCCTCGTAGATATCTCTAATGATACCGTCCATCTCGCGTTGTTTGGGAATCATGTGTTGACTTTTCAAATGTCAGCGAGGTCCCCGCAACAGAGTTAGCCGTCCAAGGGGTGGACTGTGCCTACCTCCTCGGACCTCCCTTGTGCCCGATATGGTCCAGGCCGAGATAATGCAGAACCATTGTGCTCCAGTCCGAGTTCGCGAGCTCTGGCACGACGTGGCGGGTTACATTGTTGTCGACCTCGGTGAAGTCCTGGATGGGATATCAGCAAACGTCGCGCAGAAATGACCTCAACAAGAAGGCACATACTGCTACAAAAAAGCTGGATGTGCCGTCGGCACGGTCAAAGGTCCCCGGGAATAGCTTCAGCCACGTGTCGTCTCCGTACATGAGCAGCTTTCCCGAGCCCTTTGCCTTCATCTGTGCTAACCAGGTGTCCTGCGACGCCAGAGAGGAGCTCTCATCACCCTCGTCAATGTTGAGAATGACATCCAAGAAGGATGGGATCGAGCCCGTCGTGATAGCCTTAATTCGGGGCATCGTCACAGTGGGCGACGTGGCATGCGCCGTAAACGGCAGCGCGGTGCCATCGCGTATGAGCCTAAGCGACGATGAGTATGTGTGGCCGGAAAGGTGGGAAAGGCGCAGCTTACTTCTGCGTATACTCAAACCCGGAGCCGGCCGTGTATACAAAGTCACTTCTGAGCGCGTCCACCACCATGAACACCAACCGGTCAAAGGGGGCTGCGGGGGGCGGGCCCAGCTCGAGCTTGTCATACTGGGCAAGACCGGGCAGGACGGGCTTGTAGGGGAAAAAGCCCGTTGCAAAAGTCAGCATGGCCATGGGAATAAGTATGTTGGCGCCGACCAGCAGCACAGCAACCAAGAATGCAGCCGCATCGCGGCTCGCCTGCAGCCGGGACATCGATATCGAACCGCGACGCCAAAGGCGCGATTCCGTCGAAAGGGAATACGAAAGCAAAGACTAGCGCAGAGGGAGGTGTTTCTGCGGCAGGCAATACACGTCTCACGCCATCATTAAAGAGAAGAAACGGTAAGCGAGCGATAAGTGGACGCGCCAGTGGTTTGTGTAGGTGCTGGTGAGCGGATGGTCAGGATGCCTCAGTGCTGGGGAGGCTGGCAGAGGCAGCCAGCGCAACATCGCCGAAACCGACCTGGAAGAGCCAAGCGTCCACCCACAGATGGAACATCGGGTAGCCTTGCCGTATTTGACCAGTAGCTCAAACAGCCATTGGACGACAAGGCCCATCATAAAGTGGGCCCAACCTCGAAACCCTGCCCAAGACCTCGAGCGACCCGGCCTCGGGGCAGGGTGCAAGAGAATAGAGTAAAAAAAAAAATTGAACATAAGATATGAGCCAACAATGAAGTGAACCAAACCCCAGCTTGCATCAAGTCGTTAGGCCTTATTTTTTCTTGTTTGGATTACGGAAATTCAGTACAACCGTTCACTTTCTCTTCTTGGAACCGTGTTTGTCCTGATAGGTTTTGAACACAATGGAGGACTTTGTCCTCTTGGACCGCCTCTTCTCGACCTTCCCACTCTGCTTCTTTACGGTTTGAGCACCATCATCAACGTCCATTTCTGAAAGAATGCATATGTTAGAGTTTCAACTCATTCCATGCTATATGCGTAGGGCTTTCAGCGCAGAAGGGGGAAAAAAGGAAAGAAAAAACCTACCTGCGCTTTTGGCATCTCCATCTACCGTCTCAATCTTGTCCGTGTCCTCGGTTTCTGCATGGTATGAGTGTGAGTGAAGATATTCACCAAATATCTGGAACTTGTTAAGACCTTTATATCCGTACTTACCGACAGCGACCTCAGAGCTGACATCCTCCATCTTAGACTCCTTCGGCTGCGCAGCCAATTCCATCAACTTGGCCGAAAGTCGCTCGGTCCTCGCCGCCTCGACCGGGCCAAAGACATTGCGCTTCAGCCTCTGGTTGTTGTTCTTACGACTACTTGCTCGCTGGGATTTCGCCATGATTGCTGGAAGATCCGAATGAAAAGAGGTAGTGCAAGAGTGGGATAGCACTTGACGATGTGATGGAGGGCGGGTGCGGCGATTGACGCTAGGAAGGTTTAAAAGCCGCTGAGAAATTTGGTGGAATTGTGAAGGAGCGGGCGGCGGGTGGGATGATAAGTGAGTGCAGCCGATGAGAAGGCGGCTTTGGATACAAGTTACGATAAGATAAGGAGGACGGGGCCGGAATGGGAAATGGAATGGGAGCGCCTAATGCTTACGATGGAGGACAATGGCTTCAGAAGGGTATCCGAAAGGATGACGACGGGAAGCAGAAAAAAAGAAAGAAAGAAAAAGCACCGCGCAACGCGCCCCCCGCGGCGGGGACCACCTCTGGGCACCCTGACCGATTGGCTGGTTCTAATAGGTGTGTGATCTGCCTGTCGCCCCACTGGTGGGAAGGCAGGACCAGGAAGGCGATTCTGCCCGAGGAACTCGGACAGCAGCCTTTCAAGGCTTCACATCAACGACGTAGAGGGCGGCCAGGCGAGGAGCAACGACGCTCAATAATATACGCGCCAGCACAACAGGAAGGAGTCGACGGCTCTTTGGTGAATTTGAGCGGCCACTGCGCTCGATCCGGACTGCCTCGTAAGTGTGATGCAACGCCCGGAATCCGGGCAGGCTCTGGGATGTGCCAGATCCTCTTTGTGACTGCAGGCAAGGAGCCGCGCTGATGATTGAACGCTTCGGCGCAGGCAGCCGCAGATGAAGGTTGCTATCGCACATGCCGGGCATTGCTCTACGTACCCATCTACCTAGATATATCTATTCCCTCTCCAAAGCACGGCGCGCACAACTCGACGCCCGGCAATTCGACGCTACCGCCAAACGACGCCGATATCCACAACTCGCGACGCGCAGAAGGAAAGTGCCGAAGCTGTCGAGCGAGCGCGGCCCGACCGTCCGGCATACCTACCTCTCGACGCGCTCTCCATCCGCCTAGGTAACCAGCTCACTGGATATCTTAAGCTATCGTCGCACACCTCGGTGGTCTGCGCGTGTGTTTACTGGGCTTGTTTGTAGCACGTAGCTCCGCCATCGTCCGAGGTTGAACTCGGGTGTCGCATCTCTTGCGCCGTCGAATCCGGACACGATAGCCTACACGTTCCCACATACAACTACCTGCCACCTGCCCAAGCCTCCTTACAGCTTCGGACCCTACATACCTTTAGCCTCGGCGCTCCTCTACCTACTATTGCTTGAGACCCACCTCGCGCCTGCGCCCCGGACCGCTTCACACCTCACGTCGTCCCGAAAGCTTCTGATTGCTCGGCTGTGTGCACGTTTGGACGGCTGGGCGACTGGTCTTTGCGCGCGGGTGGTCGGGTGGTTCACTGGCCACTGCCGGGTGGTGCCTAGGGCGGAAGACACCGCACCCGACCGGAGTCTCTCCTCAGGTCCAAAATCAAGCCGCCCGCCAGAGATGACCTCAACAGGCTACGCTCCGGCCAGGGCTGACATCCAGGCTCTTGTGACCCTGGTGAACAGCAATGCGCTCTTAAACCGTCAGCTGGCGAGTATCTGCCAGCTCAACGGCCTGCGCGCCTCGGGTGTGAAAGCCGACCTGCAGCGGCGTATAGTGTCACGTGAGTCTCGTTGATATTTTTTTTTTTCTTCTTCACTTCCTTCCTTGCCTTCTTGGTCTCCGTGGGGTTTTGCCGGCAACGGGGGAGAACGAGAAAGAACACGGGAAGGAAGAGTATTTAGTCGAGAAGGCTGCCTCGCTCCTTCCGTTTCCGCAAAGTTGCATATCCGCCAAACAGCCCCCCACCCGGTCCCGCGTCTGCATATACTTTCTGTGCCATCACCGTGCACTCACTCTCTCTGCAACCCTGGACACCATCCTGACGCCGTTTCGTCGCCGCAGTCATACAGGATTCCGCCACAGATCAGCTCAGCTTCGGCCAGGTCCGCGCCAGCATAGAACAAGTCCGCAATAATAGCCAGAACGGGAAGAGTTATTCGGGGAATCAGCTACAGCATGCGGCCTCACACGCCGCGCCACCCCAGCCTTCACATCAGCAGCAGCACCCCGTCCATCTGAACAGCTCTGGCTCTTCGGCCTCGCCCCGAAGCTCCATGCCCGTGTACGCTCAGGCCCGAGGCTACCCTGCCTCGACAACTCCGGGAGCGTCGTACACTGCAGTGACCCAGAACGACAGGTCCACGCTCCCGATGCCGCAGTCCATCAATAGCTGTACGGGCCAGTCTCTCCCCCTCCGCTTTCTGCATGTCCTAACTGAAGCAGTGTTTTCCTTCAAGCCAAGCCCGTTTTACGAGCCAATCAGCCTCTTGACTGATATCAAGACATGTGATCGTGAGTTTCCCTTGTCAAATACGATATTCGCATTGGGCGAGCTTATATGCTGACGCGGTAGCTACGGCGTTTCTGTCTGAAAGCGGCGATTATGACGAACCGTAGGACGGTTACCATCACTATCGCGGCACATGAGTTGCTGAGGCATCTCACGGATCCTTCCGTCAAGATCATGGCCCTCTGCGCTTTGGGCAACACTGGTGTTCAGGAGATAGCATTTCCTCACCAGTCGGAGCTCAAGGTCAACGGCGCAGACGTCAAGGCAAACCTGCGCGGGCTCAAGAACAAGCCTGGGTCGACGAGGCCTGTCGACATCACCAGCTTGCTCCGCCACAAGCCCTCGAGCTACGTCAACAACATCGAGTTTGCGTACGCCTTGACCAACAAGGTAAGTTGCTCCCGCCGATTTTCTGAAGCCATCCCGTCCACCGAAGCCGCGGCCCCCTGATCCTTCCTTAGCTCCCCGATGCACACGTACGTTTGCTAATCAGGCTGTTTTACATCTTAGAAATTCTACCTTGGCATCTACGCTTGCAAGTCGTACTCTGTTGATAGTCTTGTTGGCCGCCTTCGGACCGGCAAAAAGATTTCGAGGCAGTCGGTGGTAAACGAAAGTATGTCCTCCTCGCGTCAAGCTTCATTTCTTTTTTTTTTTTTTTTTTTTTTGACTGGGAAGACTGCTAACCTCCTGTCATCTATTCTAGTCACTCGGAAGGCAAGAGATACCGAGATCGTAACAACGTCTCAAGTCATGTCCATGAAATGCCCCCTCTCATGTATGCGACTTCAACTTCCTGTGAGATCCGAGGCATGCAAACACATCCAATGTTTCGATGCCACCTCATATTTGCAGCTCCAGGAGCAGGGCCCGCAATGGCTGTGTCCCATCTGCAATCAGTCAGCTCCGTTCGAGAGGCTGGCAGTCGATGAGTAGGTAGCCCTCTATACGAAGGGGCTCTCGGCTTGGCCTCACTCGGTTATTTTTCGTTTGCTAATTTGCCGATAGCTATGCAAAGGAGATTCTGGAACAGACGGCAAAGTCGGTCGAGCAGGTGAAGATCGAGCCTGACGGCGAGTGGCGCCTGGCGGGGGCTGAAGCTGAGGAGATCAAGGACGAAGAACCTGAGAACAGCTTCAATCTCGACGACGACGAGGTCGTAATATCCGACATCAGCTACTTCGGCGGCCGCAGCACAGCAACGCCAGCCCGGTCACACCAGATGCCGAGCACCCCCAACACAAACATGGGAGTGTCTCGAGAGGGCTCATCGATGCCGCGGTCTGCGCAGTCTGCCGGAACCAAGCGCCCTGCGCCCGACGTTATCGACCTGACTGGGTCGGACGACGACGAACCCTCAGCACCTCCGCCCAAGCGACAAAATACCGGCGCCAACGGCTACTACTAATGGCCTTTGGTGGTTGGTTGAGGTCTGATCGTAGGGGTTTTTTTTATTTGGATGTACAGTAACGCTGTCGCAGGGGGCGTCTTGCCATGCCATGCGCTGCAATTAACGGCAGAAGCCCAAGCGACAGCACCCAGAAGAAAGCTGGGCTCGGAGAAGGAGGTGCAGATTTCACGCCGACGGCGGTATTCTTTCGCGAGCAGGGACCCTCTCGTGTTTTACAAAGCATTGCAGATCTGGTTTTCTTTGGGAGCCTGGCGAGGAGTTTTGGTTTTGCGTCATGTCTTTTTGTTTTATAATCTCTCCACAGAGTCTTTGCTAGGGAGCTCTTTTGACAGGACTTGATAGCTCCTGGTCAAAGGTCACCCCGGTGGAATGCCCCAAGCAATCTAGACGGGCATGTCGTTGCCGGATTCCTGGGTGTTGGGGGGTCTCCAATCGGCTCATGGATAAAAAAAAAGGCCTTTTCTCGTAGATTACGTTGGTAGAGGTAGGTAGGCAAGCAGCCAGTCCAGGTGCCGAACGCGGTGTAAGAAATGATTTTATGACTTTTTTTTTCAAGCTCGACTTCTTCTGAGGTCCTGGTTGTGATGGGCTGGAGTGGACCCACATATGCAGGATTACCACTGGGCAAACGCATCCAAAGTCGGCCACAGCACCACAGCCCGTCACCCATCCATCATTGGAGCAAGCACAGGGACCACTGACCTACACAAACACACCACAGCACACCACAGCGCAGCCAGTGCAAAATCACTAGAAAGCCCGTTTCCATCACAAACCTCTCCATCGCCCCGAGAGCCGAGCCGGGCACGTCGCGCAGATTTGGCTGCATTGGATTTTGGGAAGCAAACGAGAAGGGACAGACAGGTAGCCTTGCCGGCTCGCACACCCCGCACACACCCGACGCACGCCGCCAGACCCGCGCCAAGCTGCGCCGCACACCGAGGGGGGAGAGCCACCGAGGACCAGTCTCACCCCGGCATATAGACTTTGCGAGGGGGAAAGCGCATACGAGGGCCGTGTGCGCGACGCCGAACCATCTGGGATAACGAGGGGGGCAAGCTTGTCGTAGGGGAAGGGAGATACAAACCGACCGAACCGAACCGAACCGAAACGCCGCGCAGGGAGAGAGAGAGAGGAGGGAGGGGGCGCAACACACAGACAAGACAGCAGCCATGTCGTTCGAGACGGTGATGCCGCCGTACAACGCGTCGGACCCGACGGCCATGTTCTTCAGCTCGTCGTGCCTCGACTTCCTGCTCATCGAGCTCGTGCCCATGGCGTACCGCGTCGCCAACGAGGTCGACGCCGCCGCAAACGCCGCCGCGGCAGCGGTAACAGCCACAGCACAGACGCCTTCGTCCGCAACGGCAGCAGCAGCAGCAGCAGGTGCGCCGCCGCCGACAGAAGCGCTATCCACAGCGCCTAGGCTAGGCGCAGGCGCGGCGGCGGCGGGCGCGCGGCGGGGCACCATGGACGAGGAAGAGGAGCGCGACGCCGTCTCGTACCGGCTGGAGATGCAGGGCTACCGTGTTGGGCAGGGCCTGGTGGAGAGGTGAGGAGCGCTCTCCCCTACACACACACACACACACACACAACACACAACCACCCCCGCCCGCTTGGCAATGAGCATGATGGCAAGCTCGTTTGGCTGACGATCCGCGCGCCCCCTTCCTTCCTCCCTCCCTCTTTCCTAGGTTCTCCAAAGACCGACCGCGCTTCAACGACACGCTCGACGTCATAAAGTTCCTCTGTAAGGACCTGTGGACGCTGGTGTTCAGGAAGCAGGTGGACAATCTCAAGACCAACCACAGGGTATGTCCGTCCACACGCTGGGGAGGGCTATGCGCTCCGTAACGGTCCGAGATGATAAAAAGGGGGACGGCATTCGTTCCGGGGTAGAGCCGGCGTGCTAACATACTGCGTTTCTCGCACGGTACAGGGCGTCTACGTCCTGACTGACAACTCGTTCCGGCCGTTTGCGAGGATGAGCGCCGAAGCCGGTGGGCAGGCCGTGCTGAGGGCAGAACCGGTATGTCTCTCCACCACCCCCATACCCATACGGTGGACACTCGCGCAGCCAGCTGTTCACCAATCGCCCCTGCTGACTGCGGACAACAAAAAAGTTCCTATGGTTCCCCTGCGGTGTCGTCCGCGGCGCCCTCGCCGCCATGGGGATCACGGCAACCGTGCATGCCGAGACCACGGAACTTCCGGGAGCCGTCTTCCAGATCAAGACCGTTTCCGCCAAGGCATGAGCCGGCTCGGCGTTTACCACACCAGCCTCGTGACTCTACCCATAATCCCGTTCAACTGCAAACCATAAAGTTTGCACATGTCCTCGTTCGTGTTGTGATGGTACTTTTATGTTGCCTATCTGCCCAATCTATGCCTTGGGTCCCATCGACGAACGACTACCTCGCGTCATGCACGCGCATTCTTGACAACGGGGAGACCCCACACACATAATTGTGGGAAACTCAGCATATAGGTTAGACTTTTTGTTATCGGGGGCGTCAAGGAGATACCACATTCATGGATAGCGAGCGAGACCCGACACCATCAACCTTGGGCGATTGTCCCCCTTCTCACAGCCTAGGAAATCAAAAGATACCGAATCAGTATAACAACGCCCCATTGATATTCTGTTGTTCTATTCCATTTTCTTCCATATCCCTATCCCTGAAAGTTTGTTGCGTGGGCAAGTTGTTGGGGGGAAAAAATGATGGCAGCGTTTTGTAGGTGAAAAAGCAGGAGCAGGCCCCGAGTTTTCCTGGTCCAGGAGCGGCGGTCGGGCGGAACAAGCAGTATGGATTCTAGTGAAAGCCAGGGGGAGGAAGGGGTCGTTTACTTTTGCGCGGGAGGCGGGGGGCTGGTGGCGAACTGGACACCCTTCTCGATGTTGCCCTTGAGGCCCTTGATGGCGGCCTCGAGCAGGGTCTTCTCCTTGTCGGTCAGGCCCTCGAGGGGGTCAATGGCCTTCTCGGCTCCGTTGGGCTGTGAGGAAAGGTGAGCGTCAGCACGGCTTCTATCGACGCCAGGGAGGCTTATATCTTGTCGGGGAGTATCCTACACCGAGCTCGATGGGGACCGAAAAGAAGTCGGTGCCCGTCTTCTTGGCAATGGCCTCGCCACCGGGGACACCCGGAAGGTAGACGTAGCTGGGCTCCACCAGGCCCTTGGCGCCCTTGGTGGCCCGCAGAAGCTTCTCGGCAAATCTACAATTCTTGTCAGAGTCGGGCCGGCAAGAAAAACAAGATGAAAAGCTACACGTCAGAAGGGGGCACTTACCGGAAGCCAGCGTAGGCCATGCTCAAGGTGGCGGAGCCGAGGCCGTCCTTGGCCTTGACGACCTCGTCGCCGCCGAACTGGACGCGGTTGACGAGGGCGTCGTACTTGTCGTCGGGGATGGTGACGGCGGGCTTGACCTGGCTGAAGAGGGGCACGATGGTCTCGCCCGAGTGGCCGCCAATGACGGGGACCGTCAGCTCCTGGGGGTTGGACTTGCCGGCGATCTCGGCGACGAAGGTCTCGGCGCGGACGATGTCGAGCGTGGTGACGCCGAAGAGGCGCTGGGGGTTGAAGACGCCCTTGGCCTTGAGCACCTCGGCCGAGATGGGCACCGTCGAGTTGACGGGGTTGGAGATGACGAGGATGAAGGCCTTGGGGGCCACCTCGGCGGCGATCTCGATCAGGCCCTTGACGATGCCGGCGTTGATGTTGAAGAGGTCGTCACGGGTCATTCCGGGCTTGCCTAGACGCGACGGTGGGCGCAGGTCAATCCTGACTGCTCCTGCTCCTCCTTGCGCTTGTGGTTTTGCTATGGAAGAGGTTTCAACTCACGGGGAATGCCGGCCGGGATCACGATGATGTCGGCATCCTTGAGAGCCGTCTTGCCGCCATCATCCTTGGGGAGGTAGCCGCTCACTGACTATTTCCCCGTTGTCGCTGTCAGTCCGGAACATGGAACAGAGACGGTACGATAAAGAGCTGGAGCACATACTGCGTTGGAGGAGATGTGCGAAAGGTCGGCGGCGACACCGGGGGTGTTGACCACATCGTACAGGACAAGCTCGTCGACCAGCGGGGAGAGCTTGAGGAGCAGCGAGAGGGGCTAGACAGCGTATGCGATTCCGCACATGTGAGTCTTGCACTTGATCGAGGACGCAGAGGGGAGTTGGTTGGGAGGTCTAACCTGGCCAATACCACCCGAAGCGCCGGCAACAACTAAAGGCCGCAAAAGATTTATGCGTTAGGACTGTACATGTTCCATGGCTTCGTTTGTTTAATCTTTCTCTTGGGCTGCGTACCGGCCTTGACCATATTGTCAGAGGGTGGAATGGATCCGGATCCGAGGCAAAAGGTGCGGGGGAGGGGCAGGAAGGAGCTTCTGCTGCTTTGCGTCAGTATTTCCCCGAGTCTAAAAGCACGGGCGATGCAGTCAACCTCGTCAATGCGGCGAAGCAGGAGAGAGATGACAGGCGGGCGTCGAAGACAGACCTTTCTCGTAACTATCCAATGCCACAAAAAGAATTGGCTCTATCAATGCCGGTAGGATGGAAAGCGCAAAGATGAGGTTGGGGAATGGATGAGCTTGCTGTCTCTCTGGCCGCGACGGGATCGGCTCATGTCTGAGCTGGGAGGGTACCAATGGAGCTTTAAAAGTGGATTGGCGGAGGGGTCAAGAACCTGGTAGCTCGGTTTTACCCAGTAGACCTCTAGTTCCTTTGGTGCATTTGTAACCTCATAGGTGTGACATTTGACATGGGAGGAGAGCAGGCTTGGATGGCCGAGGAAGACGTCGGCCATTGTCGGAACAGAGGAACCAAACAAACCCACCACGCCTCACATGCCGTCTACCGTTAGATTCCCAGAAGAATAGGCCCTTCCATATCCATTGCTCGGCTCCCGCATCTGATTCCGGTTTCCCGCCAGATCTGGGTGGCGCACGGAAGCTGCCATGGCATATGCAATCCGGACCCAGCCTTGCGGACTACCTGGACATAATGTACATGCCATACGCACATTGGGCAGATTTCCCTACCCAGATGTACTGCCTGTATGAGCTACCCACCTACCTAGATACTTAGGTACCTACTGCCCTCCTGACCTACCTGCCTACTCGGGCAGTGAGGCGCCCGTGTTTGTTCCTCCAGTGATATCCTGTAGGCGGGGTTGGAACGTCCAGATTCCCATGTGGCTACCCCACGCTAAATCCCGGCCCTCGGCCTCCGCACATTGGACACACTTATTTTGAGCCTCGCCTTTAATAGTACGTAGACATTCTGAATAGTGGTGTGCAATGTGGTCATGTCGATGAGTAGATAGATAGGACAGGAATCGCAAAGTCTCATAAATCACCTGTCACAGCGGCCCGGATAGTAGCCCCTGTCATATATGGCATATCTGGCGTGAATTTTTTTTCTTCTTTTGTTCAATCATAGGCCACATCTAGGTAGGCACATCCGAGCTTTTCAAGGCGGAACCAGCCTTGGTTCGAGATCCCATGCCCCTCAGACGGGCTGATATCATGTGATTTCAAGCCGACGGGACGACTATATCGATCGACGTCCCCAGCCCAGTTAAATCACTTCTTTCCCATCATAACGCCCCCAGCGGTCCTTCGGGTCTTTCGAGGGAACCACTAACTCATATCTCGGCCCCAAACGTCATCAACCCTTAACGACAAATTTACTCGGCAGCCTTCTTCGCCGCGTTTCCACGCAGCTTCTTCTCCGGCTCAGCCTTGGGGGTCCTCTGAGATTTGCGGATGGCGCTGGCACGGGCGACGGCGGCCTGGCGCAGGTCGGGGCGGTAGCCGCTCTTGGCGGTCCTGTTGGCGACAGCCTTGTAGGTGCTGTGTGGGTGAAAGAGGGCGTCATGTCAGCTCTTTGCATTCCGCACACCTCGGGACAAAAAAAAAGAGGCACGACATTGCCTCTTATCGACGTCCGCATGGCTTCCTCCTCCGTCGCATGCTTACCTCCTGGCGTTCTTGTTACCGCTGTGGGCGACGCTGGAGAGCTGGCTGGCGGGCTTGTTGGCCGCGTCGGCCTTCTTGGAGGTGACAACGACAGCACCCTTCTCACCAGCCTGGACACCGATGGCCTGCGCGTGTAAATATTGGTTGGTCAGTGGCTGGTGGCTCATGTCGCCAGATTGTCGGCCATCGGGAGTCGAGTCGCATTGGCGTTACTAGTAGAGGCGGCAGGTGTATATGTATGTACCTTGTTGTTGACGAAGCCGGCGTGCTATTTGTTTTTGACGTTGTTAGTTCCCCGCCCGACGTTTGGAATAGCATCCCCCCACGAGTAGAGCAAGAACGGCTCACCTTGCGCGAGTGCTTGTTAACCAGGTTCATGGGGTCGCGGGAGAACTGGATGCCGCCGCCAGTCTTGCGCTTCTCAAGGAAGGCATTCTGGCTGCCTGTAACGTGGGCCGCACACAAAATCAGTCCCCAAATTCCCACCTCCTTCCGCCTCGTGGCGGGGGAGCTGCGGCGCTTTGGCTGGCAAAAAACTCACGGACAACCTCCCAGATCAGATCGGCGGAAACGTTGGACATGACGAGAACTGCGAGAGAATGGGCGTAAAGTGCTGGACTTGGAGTCGATATCGTGCTGTTTTTTGGCCAAGGTATTCGTCTTTGGACTTTTGCTGGTGATGCTTGTGAATACTAGCCCTCAAAACTGTGGGCTCGCCAAAATGCCGCTTTCGGGCTAGTCTTGTGGATACGCGGACGGTGGGGGTGGGGACGAGAAGGGTTACGAAGCAATGGAGTCGAGGTGTGGCGGCTTGAAATGAAGAGTGGCCAGTGCGCGACTGCTGGGCTGGGGCTGAGGCTCCCTTTACAGCCGTTTGCTCCGTTAAGTTGGCTGTGCGCTGTCATCACTGCGCATTGCCTAGCACCCAGCTGAGCCGAACGGATATTACTGTTTGACCCCTAGGTTTCTACGAAACCACCCACCCCATTCCTCTAGATTACTCGAGCCGCAGACAAAGTGATTTCACAGAGCGTAAACCATCGCCTTTTCTCAATCTCCATGACTGCCACCTAGAAGTCGTCATCCACTGCAGGGAAACCCCAAACCCCTCACGCCGTGGTATCCCGCGCGTTATCGTCAACCCCTATCGCGCAAACACTGCTAGAATCCCTGTTGCATTCGTCATCAGACCCCAGGTCGCCCGGAAATAGCATCTCCAGCTGCCTGATGCGACAAGGCCCAGCCCTGAGGAGGACAGCATCAAGCCAGCCTGTTTGCCAGTCCTCGCAGTCGGGCAGGTAGCAAACTTCTGCCGTCAGCCTCTCCTTCCTGTCTATTTTTTTTTTCCTTTTGAAATTTCAACCAAACCGTTCGCAAACCATTCCCGACCCATCCGAAGCCTCGCCCACCGTCGCCCACCATGGCCTACCTCCTCTACAGCGTCGCCCTCCTCGTCATGATCGTGGGGACGGCCCTCTACATGACGCGCGCGCGGTGGCAGCACCACCTCGACGAGCTGCCGATCCCCGGCCGCGACTTCATCTACGCCCGCCTGCCGGGGTCGTCCTTTGCCGACGACGCCGAGGCCGGCCTCAGCTCGGCCAACTTCGACCTCGGCGCCAACATCGAGGGCGGCGACTCGCGCGCGGGGCTGGACGACGCCGCAAAGGCCGAGATCCTGCGCATCATGAAGAAGCGCCGCCTCCGCTTCGACGACGCCCGCCGCGTATACCTCGAGGACCGCTTCCGCGCCAACGGCATCGGTCCCGACGGCAGGCCCAAGGACCCCAAGTTTGTCAGCTTCTCGTAGGCCCCCCCGTTCTCGAGCCTGGGGTCCGTGCTCGAATGAGAGCGGCGACTATATCTGGGGCCGCAGAAGATGGGGAGGAAGATACGACCCTTGGCTGTAAGCCGCCACGCGGCGCAAGCTGATTCAATATCGACACAACGACTTCAACCCACCAAGACTCTCAAGCAGAGTTGAATCATCTCCTATATATCGAAACTCTGCCTATGCGCTATCACCAAGCACCACCACTTTCCTTTGTTCATTTGAGATTCTTTGCGTCCTTTTCTCGTCGTCGTTTTCATGGGGCTTTCCCTGGAATAGGGTCTCTGGCGTTTCTTGGTTTGGTATCCCTTTTCTTGTTTTAGTCAAATGGTTACACCCGTTCTCGGTGGGAGAGATATGATTAAAGTCGGTGCGCCGAATAGGGCGGACTGTTGAGAGGGCGGTCACGTTTATATGGGTTGGACATTTCTCGCCCTCGAATTCCTAGGCTTATACCCATGTATCTTGGTGTCTAGGTACATACCTGAGCGACAGCCTTGTCGCATCTCCATTTTCCTACGCGTCTTTTGCTTCAGAATCTGTAATACTAGGTCCCAGTCCAATTGTTCGTCGACTCGTTGCGCTGTCACTGCACATGTGCCTCAGCGCAAAGTCTTGGTGTCAGTTTTCATTGCCCTGCCTTTCCTCTTGTTGACATCATTACGGTATTATAATATACGAACAGTACTGGGTGCAAAAGGCCCAAAGGGCCAAAGTGCCCGTCAACTGTGCTGTCCTCGACAAAGTCCCTGATCCGGTCATATGTATATACAGATAATAGAAAAAACAAGCCGTATACAAAGTGTATGATTGAGCTGTCGTTGCTCTCTGCTCGGTCCACCTTTTTGTTCTGTAACAATAGCGGCCGAGTCGGGACATTGAAAACATCAGGGATTCACCAGACGCGGCAAGCGTTTCGGACGCGCCGCCGCCGCCCTCACTGCGTCTTCTTGTCGGCGGGGTCGTAGGTGCGGTCGTCCTCGCCCTCGACGACCTTGACCATGCGCTCCATCTCGGCCTTTTGCTTCTCCCACTGGGCGTCCGACGTCTTGGTGGCCTTGTCGAACAGCTCCGGGTCCGGGCGGCGGTAGCTGCCGCCGATGCGGTCCCAGAGGGTGGTGTACTGGCCGTAGTTGTAGTTGAAGGCGAAGTGGTGGACGGCGTGGCAGGCGGCGCCGTTGATGACGGCGTTGTCGGCGTAGTACTCGCCGTCGTGGATCAGGATGGTCCAGAAGTTGATAAAGACGAAGAGGAGCACGTAGGCCACCTTCTGGAGCGGGAAGATGAAGGCGAAGAGGTGGTAGGGGACGCCCTGGGCGTAGCCGTCGAGCGGGTGGAAGGCGTGCGAGGCAAAAGGGGTCGGCATGATCCACTTGTGGTGCGGCTTGTGCAGCCACTTGTAGACGTAAGGGTGGTGCAGCCCCCGGTGGATCCAGTAGATGCAGAAGTCGGTGAAGGCGAGGAAGAGCGGCACCTGGGCAAAGTTGTACCAGTACCCGGGCCCCTCCTCGGTCGCGTCGTAGAGTTTGCTGTACCCGCGCACCTCGGCCAACGCGAACGGAACCGTGAGGATGGACATGACGGGGAAGGCCTGGTTCGCCTGCACCATCTCGAGCCAGATCTGGTTCTTGAGGAACTTGGGGTGCGACATGTTTGCCTTATCGTAGACGAGGAAGAAGGAGAGCGACGCGAAGACATAGTAGATGAGGAGACCAAAGAGCCTGTTTTGCGTACACAAGGAGAGGTTTGGTTAGTTGGACGCGCAAGGTGACATGGAGGGGAGCGACGCGCTGGCGCAAGGGGGGGGGACCGGTACTGACCATATAATCAGGAACAGGGAGAAGCCCTGGCGGTAGAGGTTATCCCTAGGCAAGGAGCTCTGGTAGGCGGCCTGCGACGGCTGCAGGGAGAAGGCAGAGGTCGAGGGCTTGTATTCCCAGCCATTGCCGATGGTGGTGCCGTTGGACAGGCCGAGGCCGAGGGGAGCTGGAGGCGCCGGGAGGGCCCAGGCATAGAGGTAGTCCCATAAGAACGTGTCGGTAACCTCCAAAACAATATCCATGTTGGGCGATTTGGCGGGCGGGCTCCCAGCAGCGGATGCAGAGGAAGAACGGAGGAACCCAAAACGATTGGGGAAACAACAAGCTTGAAAGCTTGCCGGGAAGGACAAAACGGGATGACCAAAAAACCAAGAGCGGCCCTTTTAGGGGGTGGGTTCCGTTCCCTTGTAGTTTTTTGTTGTTGTGTTTTCAATCGGGTCGCAGCTGGACCCCGACTCCGGTCTGCCCAGCAATTAAATTTCTCTGGCCCAATGGCAAAATTTCGGGGGAGATCTGGGATGGCTGGGCTGGGATTCCAATCTGATAAAAAAGACGGATGGGGTAAAGGGGCGATGAGGGTGGTTGCAGACCCCTGCCTGGCAGGCGGACAGGCGGACAAGACGACCTCGGGAGCGGCGCGCGCGGAAACGAAAGCGCAGATGAAAAGAACACAGGACGTGCTGTTGAGCCGACAATGGAGGGCTGCTGCTGCCCACAATACGGATCCAGGGGGAAGGGTCAGGTTTGGTTTTTATAACCAAGGACGGGCGGTGAAGGATACAAGCATTCGAGGACAGCCCGTCGCCCAGGACGGAATTGATTCGTGTCATTGCCATGGTGTTCCCCAAGCCCGATGTCGCCGCCTTGTTCCCGACATCCCCCGCCGCCCTCGCGCGTTCGGAAGCCGACAAAAGGCGTTGAAATGTAGAGCGCAATTTCACCACAAGGCCATGACGGGCGTCCCAGAGACCGTCGATGGCACTGTTTCTCTGGATTGTCGTGCAACGTGCAGCGGTGCCTGGCCCTGGGATTGCGCCACTGAGGGGCGGCGCGGTGGCCGGCGCGCGCTCCCATTGGCCCGCCCGCCTTTGCTGCTCGCAGTAGCGCTCTCGGAAGCCGTCGAAGCGAGTGGTCTGCTTTTCCACCCCTTTTTTTTTTTTTTTTGCGTCGTCGCGCGCTGTTGGCTGGCCGTCCGACCCGCAGTAATACCATGCCATTTGACGCCCGCACGCCGCGGCTGTCAACTTCCTGTGTTGCCGTCACACGGGAGCCGCCGCGTCCCTGTCTGAGCGCCGACCTGCGCCGCTCCGCCGCCGCGGTTCGGGATTCCGAATCGGCCGGCGAGGCCAGCGTGGCTAGCGCGTCTGTCGCCTGCCGTCGCCGCCGAGTCCGACGAGGGTGTTGTCGAGGCAAAAACGCAGCCTTCACGAGAAGTTTTAAAGGCCAAATAAAAGAGCAGGAGCACCAACAGCCCGGTGCTGCAACGGCCATTGGCTCGGAACGCATGACAGCTGCAGGCTGCAAGCTGCTCTTCCATGCCTCGCCAACAACGGAAGGCGAGACATGCGTGGCGGAAACTCAAAGCTTTTGATCTAGCCTTGGGGAGTTAGAATCCCCATGTCGACGGCGTTTGAGAAGTCACCAGGACACGGCTCGCGATTTTGTCTGGTTCTTTTCGTTGGAGCGTTTCGGTCAACACTTTGACAGGCTGCGGATCATGAACAAGCCAATATATCAGTACGGCGCGAAGCCTGTTTGCAGCGGGGTCTGTGTCTCCCGCTGCTGTCCTATGACAAGCACATCTAAATCTACAGCGTCCTATGCGTTATGGTCCCACGATACCGTGTTGTCCCTGCCCCATTTCCTGATGTCCTCAAAGTTCCTGCACGTGTGCTTGGTGCTGAAGTCGGGCCACCAATCGTCGTCGGCGAGGCCGTACTCGGGGAACAGCCGGAAGGTGAAGATGCCGATGTCGCTCTGGCACATCAGGTTCAGGCGCAGCGCCTCGATGCAGTGGTCTGTCGTGGTTGCCATGTCCCATTGGTTAGAATACGGACGGACACTCAGGTCGAACAGGACGGCAGAAGCAGAACGAAGCAAGGCAACGCAAAGGAACTCACCAAGATGGCCGTGGAGAGCCTTTCCGGAAGCATCACCAACGTCGCCGTGGAGATCCTTGTAGTAGTTCTTGTAAAGGCCCTGCCTCAGCAGGTTGAGACAGTGGAGCTGGTGGAAAACCTCCACGCCAACCCTGTAGCCCTCCTTGCCTGTCTTGGGGTCTTTCACCTTGAGGGAGTTGAGCGGCGACCCCATACGCAGAGCCTCCTCTTCAGAGATCATCTGGTCTCCAACTGCAGCAAACCCGAATAAAGAAAGTCAGTCAGAGCCTGCGAGTGGAAGGGGCGAGACCAAATGACGGTTGCGTTTCTTACCATCGTTGGCAATGTAGTCCCATGCCTTGTCGACCTCCTCGCCGTAGCCTACGTACGGGCTGTCGACCACGGGCGTGAGGTTGAACTTGACCGTCTCGTACCTGACCGCGGGCGCGGCGGGTGCTGCAAGAGTTGTGTCAGCGAAACTTCGGTACAAGCCTCAGGCATCAGGGAAAACGGCATGACTAGACGGTGGGGCTTGTATGCGCAAAGATGGTGATGCCAATGTCGTGCACACTTACACCAAGATGAGTACTTCTTTGTAAATGTCAGGTCGTCAACCTTGGCGCCCCTTGAGCATAGGGACAATGTGAGCATTGTGAGGGACGCTGAGAGCAGAACGGCATGGGCAATCCAGGTCCAGTGCGTACGCCCACGCTCTATCACTTCGGACAAAACCCCTCGCACTCTCCTTGTCCTGACGCCCTCTTTATCCCCGGTGAGGCTACCCTCCTCGTCATGAGGGACTGACTGGTAAAGGTTCGACATCTTGGGGGGATAGCCGTGCATGATGGGAAGATATTGAGCAAAAAGAAACAGTAAAAAGGTGACGCCGAGCAAATGTTTCAAAATTAATAAAGATTGTAGTCGATGGCGCGCCTGGCGCGAGGAAGAAGGCAAAGAGAATATGGGTGAAAGCAGAGATGTCTTGGCAGGATGAGAGTATCAACAAGCAAAACGAAAAGAGGGCCAACCGGAGCGCGAGACTGGAAAGAAGGATAAAGACCGGGCGGGTTTCAAACAGAAAGGCGGACGATCTTGGTCAGCAACGCCTCCGTCCTGCAATGCAACCGTTATCTCGCACCCCTAAGCGATATGGCAAGACGGGATCAGCAAAGATGAGAGCGCATGTAACCCAGGGGAGAGGGAAAGGATGGTGCAGGTAGGAGGAGGCGAGAGGCAAGAAAATGTGGAAAGGGGGAGGCGAGGCCAACCAAGCGACTAGCACCGAGGGCAAGACGAGGCGAGGGCGGATGTCGAGAGATGATGTGCATCCACACGTTTACCCCATCGACTTCTCTTCCTATCCCGTATTTTTTCCTTTCGCCTTCGTCCCCTGGATCCTGAGACTCTTCGCGAGTGGGACTGACGGATATAGACAGCCTGACCCTGCGCTCTGGATTGGGCCGGTCTTTGCGGGGCGGGACGGCTTTGGTTCCATGTGGGTGGGTCCTCAAAGTGGGAATAAATGTCTTGGCATTTGGAATCGGGGCAAGGTGGAAACAAGCATCTCAAGGATAGGGATGGTTTCAGGGGTACGCACTCGGCCGAACCGCGAGACTGGGAATTTTTTGCCGGGGAAAGGGAGAGACCAAGGCCACCGAATATTGACCCTCTCGGGACTGCAAGACACAAGGGGCTTAGCGCAGGGGGCGAGAAGCGACGGAGTGTGGGACTGGATGACCCATGACGGGTTGCCTCGCCGGCGAGCTTTGAATATTCGTCCGCTCTTGTTTGTTGTTGCTCCTTTTCCGTCGTCTCTTCCTCCCCCTGACCTTCTCTTGCTACAGGCTGAGACAGGCCGGCGACTGGCTTCGGGTTTCGGTATGCTCTGCGTGGTTGGCTGTTGATGCTGCGTGGTTGGGCAAACGGCTCAACGGTTGTCGCACCTTGTTTGGTGGCCGGCTCGCCTGGGCCAGTGGCTGTTGGGCGCGCCAAAACAACTGTTTCTGGTGTTTTCCGACTGGACCAAACGAACACTCAGCCATGCTTGGCTGTCACTTGCTGCTAGAACAGAACAATAATAATAATAATAACAATAAAAAAGGCCCGCTAGACACTTTTGATGTGCGTGATTGACGTTGACAGGCGGCCTGCCAATGCTGATCAGCCATCGCCAAGGCGTCCATCATTTGCTTCTGTGCTTCTCCCCAACCCGCGGGAGCGCAGACAAGATTCGATCTGTCGCGGGGAACTCCTCTGGACAGGGGAACCCTCTGTGTCTCTCGCGAGGTTTCAAGTCTTGGCGCACGCGGCAGGCCCCGCCCATCTAACGCTGGTCCACTCAGAGGCTCTGCCGCCCAGCCAGGGGTTAACGACGCTGCAGAAGGATGTGTGCTGTTTCAGCCGCCGAGACGCCTCCTCCTCCTCTCCTCCCATCGCTCTAGCCGCTTGCCCTGTCGCCTGCGTCTTTAATGCCTCTTCGCCGCGTGTGACCAGAGGGAGGGAGGAAGGAATAGAGGCAAGACTTGACGACGATCTGCGCTGTGCAACAGTGGCACGCCCACGCAACCAACGTGTATGCGGTGAGCGTCGATCCTCCTCACTTCCTCACTCTTGTTCCGAAAGCGCGTCTCGCCATGCGCATCCAGGCTCGCGAGGCACGTACTGGTAACCCTGCGGTACCGTAGTACCTACTGCTCGTTGGCTGTTCTGCCAAGCACAAAGACCATCCCGTTCCGGATCTGCCGTCTCCCTGTGACCCATTGGCGGTGGAGCTCCATGGGGCACAGCACGCTCGGCCCTTAAACCGATTTTCGAGAGAGTGGCCCTCCCTGCCTGTATTATTCTGGATCCCACCTGCGCCGCATCCCCTGAGGCTCTGGTCCTTTTGAGTGACGGGGTGTGTGTGTGTGTGTGCGGGTGGAGGGGGCTTGTGTGGGTGTGCGTAACCACTTTAAGCTTAGGTAGCCGAAGGGACGCCTTGATCGCCATCTGAAAAAAAGCTAATCTGTAGTGGAAGCTCGCCCATCCCTGTGGCCGCCTGTCCCGTCCGGCAGGCATCTTGTTTTATTCCAGCGCCTCCATACGTCAGCCCGCCGCCTGTCAGCGTCTCTGGCAAGAGACGCGTGGTCAGGGATCCCAGGGCGCGCCTTCCAAAGCCCTAATGCAAACGCATTTCTTTCAAGAACCAGATCTACAGATACATAGGTCGAGACGGCGGGCGTGTCGGGGTTTCAGGCGTCCGCATCCACACCGTCATTTCTCTTATTCGTCTTCCTTGGGACTACATACGGTACGCGAACGGGGGTCGCTGGATCCGGATAAGTCGGCAACCTTGCTTGAGACCGATGGGTGCGGGGCGTCGTCGTTGGCGCTTTGCCCTCGCAGACTGACACGCTGTCAGGGATGGGGCCTCATCAGGGAGCTTGTCGAGCCGCGTCGACTTCTCTTGTATTGCCCAACCCATGTCTACCGGCCTTGCCCCGTTGCGCCTAGGGTGGCGGCAGGCACGCCCACCCATAGGTATCCTCGCCATGGGGGGAATATCGGCTTAGCGCTGCGGGCCACACACACTCGTCAGCACTCCTTCCCATGCCCGCTCGATACATGCGCCTGATGCAAACGGGTCCGTCTGGGGAGCCACACCAAAGATGAGACTACTGTCCCAAGCGGGCCTAGTCCTCTAGTGGCGGGCGTCATGTTTCCCTCTCGACCTGCGGGCCCATCACCCTCGTCCGGAGTCGTCGTTCAAGGGAGGCCAAGACGGATATAAAGGGCGCGAACTTGCTCACCAGAATCAGCTCATGGTGGACCGACCATCATCAGCCTCTCTCACACTCTCACTCTCTATCCTACCCTGGTGGTTTCGCTTCTTTGCATTCCCTTCGTTTTATCTTTAAGCTTATCAGCTAGCTGCCGGGCAGTTCTTCATTCAAAATGCACACCCCTTCGTTCATCCACATTGCCGTCACCGGCCTGGCCGCCGCCTCGGCTGTTTCCAGCTTCTCTCTTGGCGCTCCCTCCGGTGTTGTCAGCAGACATGTCGTACGTTTCATCGCGCCATGTGGTCGAGATACATCCAAGGTCATGGACTAACACCCCTGATCACATAGGGCGCTCTCGTGGCACTTGCCGCTCCGGCACTAGCCTTCCCCATTGCCGAGACCCCCTCCGAGGTAAGCATCAACTCAGCTTTATCGTGCGGCACTTAGCACATCCACTAACCAAGGAATGCTCCGTTTGTACAGCTGGTCGCCAGGCAACCTCACCACCAAGGAAAGCGCACCAAGGCCAAGGGCAATGGCCCCGCCGCCAAGGCAAAGGGTGTCAAGCGCGATCTGGCCGAGGACCACGAGGAGGATGAGGAGCACGACCTCGAGACTCGCGAGCCTCACCACCAGGGCAAGCGCACCAAGGCCAAGGCTAAGGGTGCTAAGCGCGATCTGGCCGAGGACCACGAAGAGGATGAGGAGCACGACCTCGAGACTCGCGAGCCTCACCACCAAGGCAAGCGCACCAAGGCTAAGGCCAAGGGTGCTAAGCGTGATCTGACCGAGGAAAACCACGACGAGGACGAGACTGAGCTCGAGACTCGCGAGCCTCACCACCAGGGCAAGCGCACCAAGGCCAAGGGCAAGAACTAGCTTTTTTGCTTCCTGATTGGGTGTGTGTGTGTTTTTGAAGGAATATTTTTTTTAGCGGAGCGGATCTGCGATCCCACTATACCACCACAGGGCTGTCGATATTGGTTGTAATGAATATTTTGCATAAAAACGCCGTGAATCCTGGCTATTGCGCTTGCCTTTGCTAGTGACTGCCAGCTCGCCTCCTTTGGCGAGAGAACCGATGACATCGTTCTGTGCCATGCTTCAAAAGCCCCCTCGCAATAACTGCTTCGTCCGTTCAGCGACTCTGATGCGGTACCCCTGGATTGTGATATTTGGCTGACGGGGCGCTGTGCATGCCGTAAAGACACAGCCAGG